GCCACTATCCTGCCAGATGTGGGGTGTGGGGAGTGTCGAACTGGATATTTTACCAACACTGGATATCAACAACAGTGCGGCGAACCAAGCCAGAAGCTGAGGACAGCTTCACTCCTAAGGGGGAGGCAGTGTGGCGTCGGATCAGGGCGCAGACATGTTGGACCACCTGGCCTCAACCAATCCTGTTTCTCTCTGCGTTCCAATGGCGTGGGAGGAAGATAAGCAGCCAACCAGAGAAGAACATGACTGAGGAGCAGTATATAATGAGCGGCGTGGCCAGCGTGGTGGACTCGGATAGAAGGCGCCTGGCGTGTGGGCTGTTTTGTGATTGGTCAGTAAGACCTGTTCTGTTGTACCAGTCTTCTTCATACTAGGGCTCGGGTATTCTACAGTGGCGACGTCTGCGGGCGCAGACATATTGGGCTACGCTGGCTTTAGCCAATCCCGTGTCTCTGCTTTCCAATGGCATGCGAAGAAGTTTGGCAGCCAACCAAAGAAGGACACGACTGAGGTGCAGCATATATTGAGCGGCGTGGCTAGCGTGGTGGACTTGGATGGAAGGCGCCTGACATGTCAATAACTTAGACATTTCGGGCGGGGTACAGATTATAAAGAAACATATTTGCTTGTACTGAAGCATGTACTGGAACATAAATTTGCATTCAAATCTCTAAAGTGAATCGATTGGATGCACGAGACTATCTAAATAATCTAAACAATAATATTACGGCTTCATTGAAAATCATCACAATTGAAATTAAATTTAGAACGTCTTAGAGATAATTTTTGACTATTCATGTCAGAATTGCCATTACATTACCTAGTATATTCATGAAAGGCATCGTTAGCGAGTAAACATTAAAGGCAACGTGGGATAAAGCAAACTGTGTTAAAATCATACTGTCAATATGTTAACTTTTACATTACAATCCATGCTACTACGCTTGGACCTAGAATCAACTAAAATGGAGCAATATATAGATGCTATGCAGTGCTTTCGTGTTCCATAACGTCACATGGTTAATTGCAAAACATGACAGAGGGCTGGTCGGATTTACCTCAAAAATAGCCCGTTTTGAAATAATTGTGGTCCTCACAAATATAGACATGTTTTGTATTTTTGGATTTTAAATTTCGATCAAGGCATTCTTTAAGCACACAATATTTAATCCAGTTCTTCACTCCAATAAACATAAACTTGTGTATCCATACAATCATTCACAACTTACCACTCATCATTGACTTTATCGTCAGAAAGCTTTAGTGGTCTGTGATGACTTATGTTCATACACGTTTATATTTCTGGCTAACATTCTTGGTCTTTACACAACGGAGACATAGATTTCACTCATAAGACCAAGTATGGTAATTCTTTAAGTCGGAAGAAGATGTGGTTAGGTGGTTAAATTAAAAATACGCAAACTATTAATTTTAACACTTATCGAAATCGTGCTGAAAGTTATGAAAAGATGAGCTGACCAATTAACAACGCATCATTGACTATTTCATATCTTCATGTTTACTGCAACCAAGGTTATTTCAGGTAATAAGAAAAGGAAGGTAGGGAGAATTGACTAAACTGATAAAGCTTAATACAAATGTATTCATGGCATCTTCATCGTGTAAGCAGCGTGTAAGAGGCAGCCTGTGGCCACATATTCATTGAAAATTAGACACTCTCAGATTATTTGCCCTTGAAATCTAAACTAAATGCTAGTGGCACCATAAAGTGATAATTTAAATTAAAATGCGGAGGGATGACTGTCAGGTGCCAACAGAAGTTCGAGTTGCGACGTAGGGTGCAAAGTAAGGATAATGTTTTCTGCAAACATTAGCGGAATTTGGAGCATAATTTCGCCAATAGGGCCCTCTTACGTGTAGCCATTAAAAATCACTCACATGCATGAAATAATTAACTCCAAACGCATCCCTTAACTTCCAAGACAGGACAAACTCTCTTGTATAGAGAGCTTCATTTTTATCATCATCTGGTGGCAGTGTGAACTATAGTCTGGGACGCTACAATGGTGCATTGATTGAGGTGAGGAAGTTTGAGCAAAACTAATTGCCCTGTGGACTGAAAAAACTTAAACAAAATTCTGTAGTCTTTTTAGTATATTTCTGGAATGTTTTTCAAATTTATGGTCCTCATATCCTTCACAGAATTGAACATTTAGCTGCACGTAATCATGTCACCGTTTATCAGTGTGTTGCACAATTTAATTTGTACATTTAGCCATCAAACAACGCTTAGTCTTCTGATGTACTATCACCAGATTGGCGTCGGAAACACACAACAGCAGTGATCTGTGAGCAACTTTATCCACCTTGCACTTAGAGTTACTACCCTGGTATATGTACGCACAGAGATCATAGTGACTTTGTTCAAAATAAGCAAAATATATGTATTTATGCAAGATTTAAGCAACATAATTCAAGTCAAGTTAAATGACAAAGCAAATAAATATTTCTGTGAAAGACACAGGTAGATCTTAGATGATGAGCTGCAGATCATCTGTCGCATCCGCATCAGCTAGTCATCTATCGGCTAGCCATAGTGAAGGGCGGCATCACGAATACCAGCGCCGCTGTTTCCTATAACGCGGGGCAAATTCTTAATCTCCTCTTCCCATTGCGCCTCAACTAACTTGTATACAGCCAAGGTGACACGGGCGTCCTCTACTGAATCGTGCGCTTTGGTTTGAATATCCAAATCTAAAAGGTGTCATTGCAACAACATGATCTTGGGCTAATGCTAACAATTAGCCTACGTAATGTAAAATAACCGAATAACTACCCACTACAACGCAGACAATCGGTACTCACGTCCCCTTCCATAACATCAAGCACTTACTGAGAAGGGCTTTGGCAAGACGTTTGAGGCTAACTTGTTCAACATCACTAAAACCAGCCTCAAATTTTGTGTATTTGGAAGTGGAAGTGTCTCGCGTTAGAATTGCAGGATGACTTATGTGCAGCACTCTGAAATCGTTTTCAATCGCGTGTCCAACAAGGATGCGGCCCTAAGGAAGACCAAAAGTATTCATGTAGTGCTAGTCTGCCGACACTGAGGCTAAGAGAAAATATCCAGAATTTATATGCGATTTGTGATCACTTGTGGTCAAATCGCAAAATATCAGACAAATTCACACCTGCAATGAATAAAAAATCCCAGCTTGTGTTAATAAATAGCAATTTGGACGACACTCACTAAATGGTACGCATGTGGCTAAATTGCATTAGTAGTAAAATTTGAAATCTTCCTAGTGTGCTAACACACCTCACCTACCTCAATTATCGCTCGAACCTCTTCCCTAACTGTTGCGAAGGAAATGGCCCTGCGCATATCGGGCCTAGTAATCCCACTCCACCGGGTGCGAAAATCTGTGATTTCCTCTTCGGGTTTGCTTATGACGTCGTAAACAACGCGACCATTGTAATCAACGATGCTTACTCTGCCTAGTGCATTCTGGCGTCTTGGACCGACTCCCACCATCTCACAGTCCAGGGCGATGGGGCCATCAGGAAACACTCCACTTTGGATTTCAGACAATGCTACACTGAGTTAGTATATCCTGTAACATATCCTACCAATTCTAATATTCCTTTTTTCTTTCTTTTCGCTTTGCTCTTTCCCTTGATCATTCATCACTCGCAACTCTTTGCTATCGTCCGAGGCAATTAGTAAATTACGATTAGTCCATGTATACAGAAGTGGAATATTCAGGCTATTGTGAAGTTAACAGACTGAGAAAATACCATAGTTAACATATCTGATACATGGTGTTTCGTAAATTTTCACTTGCTGAGTAGGGCTAAATTCGAGAAAAAGTGTACGGTGGTGACAATAACACAACTTTTGCACAAAATAGATTCGCATCTTATGCGTGCAATCAACCCTAATATTATACACACAAAGTGTCTACAATGGATTCATAACTCCATCGGCGACATGACAGCTGAGGTAAGGGGTTGGAAAGAGGGCGAAATTTAAACAGACAGCGATAGGGACGTATTATCAAACAATGCAGTTCATGCTACCTAGACTGTGAATAGCAAACAATCACAAATTACAACTTACTCAACAAGGATGTGCAAAATTTAATTTAAAAGAATATCATGAATTTGTAAAATATTATTTCAGAAACATAGCCCATGTTAAAATTAAAAAAAGGAAATAGGTGTGTTTGTTGATATTTAAAAATATTAAATATTCACAACCTAATGCACAGTTGCAAAGCTACATTATATGAACACCAACCTGTTAGACAACTGATAGGTATTTTGAATTGGTCCGTTAACGACCTTTAGCAGGGTGTGAAGAAATTGGAACAATAAAACCTTTACAGTGCTTTAAAATATGTTGTAATTTTTTGGGTAAGACTATAATAAAAATTGCAATTATGTTATTTAGAAAAAAATTGTTTGCAGTCCGTATATAAAAAATCTGAAACGGAGTGATCGATTTACAGTTAACGGACTAGTAAAGTTGGATGATTCGACACATCATTCTGACATATAGTTCACGAAAAAGATTAAAAGAAATTTCTTTTGTTGCTATTTGCCGCATATTTCATAAAACGGGTTGCAAGTTAAAAATGCTGTTTAGTTAGCGTGTTGATCATCGGTTGAAATAAACCCAAACATGTAATACGAGAATCGGCTAAAAACATTTAGGAGCTGTAATGTTACAATACAATACAGTAAAAAAACGTCGCACGCATGCGGTCTGACAGGCAGTTAGAAAACATGAGGCCTTAAAAATGGAACACGGAGGGTTTAAACGTCTGATGATCGTCGACTGTCAGTTAAAAACAACTTGATATAAGTTGTAGTCTGCTAATCAACTCTAATAGAAAAGGCTGTATTAAAGTGGTCAAACCTACATTCACTTCACAATAATGGCATTGATCTACCGCGGGAGGGTTTTGTTACCGACAATTTGAATTGCCAGCTCGCAATATGCCTCCCTAATTATAAATCTATATCGCATTGTCAATGCCATGTTAATCGAAAATTTGATAAATAGTAAAGTTGGCATAGTCAGAAAATGTTAGCGTATCCACAAAATTACGCTGCCCGCAAACATGTCCTTCCTATGAAGGCATTTGATGCAGATCTCTATGGATAGCCCGATCGGAGCTGCAAACTGCGCATGTCCCACCCACTCCCACAATGACTCTTTCGCATGGCAGCTGGCGCCAAC